AAACGACTTACTGAAGTGATCTGCATTTGTGACTCATCACGCGCATCGATGCCATGTCTATAAATCATGCATCTATCAGTGAAATAACACCTTGAAAATCGTCAATTCATTCCCATCAAAAAAGTGTTGATCAATTACACTTCTTAGAAAAGCACTACCAAATACAATAAACAATTTATAAGCATAAAATAGAGCTTCCCAATACGCAATTAAACGAATGAATGCTGAATTCGAAAGTGATAAATAAGAAATGAAAGTTTACTTGATGTTCAGTCGATCAACCATATACGTACTAAAACCGCCGTTGATAAAAACGGTCAGTATTACGATCATTGACGTTGACGACGCCATTATTTGACGATTCACTGTTGATGTATTTCTGTATGCTAATGCAAATGCCATCGCACCTCGGAGTCCTTTATTTTAGATCATTTGGTACTTTTCAAAAATATTCACACTTAGTTCTACGAAGAAAATACTCGCAACTATTACAGTCAATCAAAATTATCTTGCAGCAGTCAAATTAATGAGAATAATTATGATAAGAAAAGCGAAAGCATGATAAGATAACAATAAACAGCGATAATGGATTAATTGCTAACAAACCAGAAAATAACAACATGTGTTGATAATTTCGTGGAATGGGTGGATGTCGGTGAATATTGATCAACGCGCATAGTGGATAAATATATACGGCACGTGCGACTGTTATGGATATCTATAAACGTGTTTATGCTGTGTGATCGCACTCAATTCTCAAGGAAACACTTAATGAAGCACGATACTGCAGTTTCAATTCAACAGCAAATGGTTTTTAGTTGAGACGGAAATTTTTTTAAAAATTATTGTTAAAAAACATACGAGTGTTGCAAAAAGAAATAAGATATTCCACTTTTGAGAATGCGATACGAACACGCTGACACCAATATAACAGAATATAAAACTTTCCGTGAGGAAACCGATAACCTGAAACTTATTTTCTATTATAACATCGAAAAGTGTTATGAAGCGATTTTGATGAGGATAAAACAAGTGGTTTACCGAATGCAATCGCAAAGGTGATAGAAGAAGCGTCCGCTTAGTATGAAAATTGATTAATGACAAGCAGAACATCGAATCAGATAGAACAAATAATTCGAAAATGAAGCAAATTCAAAACAATAACCTGAAAGAATTGCTTCGTTCGCAGTTGTGACTCTTCAGAGAGGTTATTGTACGTATAATGTGCCTGACAAATGGCACAAAACAGAACAGCAACGATCCCTGAAAATTGTCACTTCACTGTGAACAGAACAACATTTATATAATAATCAATCGGTAAACGATCACTCCAAAACCCAGTTTCAACAACTAAATCAACACCT